AAGCAGGGGGGAAAGTGCGGTGCCGGGGTGGGGGAGGGCCAGGCTGGGGGCACTGGGACGGGGCCTGGTGCTGCACAAAGGCCCCCTTGTTGCTCCCGACATTCCTGTGACAGGGGCGCAGGGACTGTTTACACCCAAAGTCCCCTTCCACTTGGCTTGCCGCCTGATTGACCGGAGGAGAGGGGACCCGGCCAGGGTGGCACCAGCACCGCGCACCCCTCCCCATGGCATCCATCCGTCCCCAGTGAGAGTGAGGAGCCCAGAGCAGTGGGGTGGTAATGCCAGGGAAGGGACCCTCCTGTCCCCCCACGGCCATGGCAGTGCCGCCACCTCTGGTGTGGAAGCATAGCTGAGCTGCAGGTACATGAACGCCAGGTTCTCCCAGGAGCGGGTTTGGCTTTGCACCGCCACTGGGATGCCCAGCTCTCCGTGTCAGGATAGCCTGCTGCCAGATGGGAATAACCTTGGGCAGCTCGAGGGCTGTGCATCACCGGGCTGTGCATCACTTGGCTTTGCATCGCTTGGCTTTGCATCGCCAGGCTCAGCCCCTCAGCAGGGCTGTGGGAGGTTTTGGTGGAGCACAATTTGGGAAAAAAAGAGAGCATAGCCATCCACTGAGGGCCGAAAGGAAGCTGTTTCCTCGGGAGGAGGCGGTCATTGCCTCAGTGGGAAGTGGCTCACGGCCCGGAGGTGCCGCAGCCCACTGCCCGCACAGCTCTCCCCAGCGGGCAAGGACAGAGCGGCAAAACCCTCTCTGGGTTTGGCAGCGGCGGCAAAGTGAGATGCCACCCATGGGCAAAAGCCAGGAAATTCAACCTTTAGTCTGTGCGTAAATCGTGTTATGGAACAAACACTTTTCCCAATCCAGGTCAGCAGCGATATTGCTGTTAACCAGCAGTGTCCTGGCGTCTGTTCCCTGGGTTGTTGTCTCCAGGTACTTTCTGGGACTAAATCCCTGTTTGTTATGTTTGCCTGATTTTTTTTCCTAAAGTAACTCTACCACAGAGGATTGTATTGGCATTTGGCGAGATCCGTACGGACAATTATGTAACGGGAAATGTGCCCTATCGGACCGTCGCAGTGGGGCTGGCAGCGTCGCCAGCGAGGGGAACGGCGCGCAGCAGCTTTGTGCCAGAGAGAAGGGGCAGTGCAGCGGGGCTGGGGGGCCAGGCGTTTGCCCACCGGCTGGGCAGGGGTAGCGAGCGGGGAGGAAGGGGCTGTGCCGCTGCGGTGGTCCCTGCCAGGAGCTCCCCCTGGCAGTGCCGCGCCTGGGCGTCTGCAAAGCCGTGCTGCCGTGATCCTCCCGCGCGCTCCCGTGCCACAAAGCGCCCTTGATGGCAAGGCGGTGAAAATGGTCCTGCTTTGCTTGTTGGCTTTTTTGTCCCCCCTCTTCTTTCCAAACAAACACATAGCTGCAAGCGAGCAACTTCTGCTTTCGAGAGGAGACATGTAACCTTTCAAAACCTCAACTTCTCCCTGAACCGCGTGTGTCGTCACTGGTGCAACCTTCTGTTCAGCGGGAGTGTGAACGCAGCCCTCTTGGGATGTGCTAGCGAGAGGGGATGACTGGAATTTTTTCTCTTTTCCTTCCCATCTCTCCTTCTGCCTGTGCTCAGGATGGCTTTACGAAGCAGCCTGAGGCTTCGGCAACCTGCTGTGCATGCAGGTTGGGGCCGTATGTGGTGCGGGATGTCGGTGGGAGTGCATGTCTCCCGTGGATCTCGCTGGGCATCACGTGCGTGTCGAATACATACACCTGGCCCCAGGCTTGCTCCTCTTCACTGTCTCCCTTGGGCATCGCCACCTGGGTTGCCTGCACCGGCATCACTTGTGCAGCTGCAGGCACCCAACACACCCAATCCAACGTGCTTATTGGCCACAAGCATTTATAGGGAGAAAATTAAACTCCTAGCCTCTTGGCTGAGCCTTTACCGAGAGAGAACCGTTCTTCTCCCCTTCCTGTGGGGCTGGCTGAAGGTTATGCTGGAAATTTTCCCAGAGAAAGAGGAAAGGAGGGTGGTGGCGCAGGGGGGCAAATGTGGAAATCAGAGCGTTTGAAATGACCCCCGAAGCGGGGCTGCACGGTAGGAGTCAGCTGCCCCGTCGCCCTGCACCCCAATGCTGGCATTTGCTCTTGCAACCTCTGAGCGTGGCAGCAACACACCCGTGTGGAGCAGAGGGCTCCCCGCCGATGGGGGCACGGCAGGTTTTAACAGAGAAGGGTTGCCCTGCTGCCAGGGGCTTCGCTATTGCAGGGTTCTGCCCGTCAGCACTGCACACATGGGGCTGCATTGTACGTGCAGGGCTGCGTTGCACACACAGGTCTGCATTGCACACGTGGGGCTGCACTGAACACCCAGGGCTGCATTGCACATGCATATCTGCATTGCTCACACAAGGTTGCATTGCCCATGCATGTTTGCATTGCACAGATGGGGCTGCTTTTCGCCTGTGGGGTTGCACTGCACGCACAGAAAACTCCTGGGCTTTGCACTTTGTCCCGAGGCGCTTTGGGTGGGCACCCAGATGGGGTACCTCGGGGAAACTGGTCGGCACCTTGCAAGCCAGGGCCCTTAAATCTTCATCAAGGCCAGATACTTGAGTGCCTGCTTCATCTGGAGTGCAGGGGGATTGCGGGGTGTGCACAGGGCCAACGTGGAACATTTTGTGTGTTCCTGCAGGCTGGCTGGGACATGGGGGCTCGGCGTGACGTGATGAACAACATTAGACATTGCACTTTTGCCATCGTTCTCTGATGTTCCCATGCCCAAATCCTCCTGGCTGGGATGTGGTACCAGATCCTGTTTGCAAGCTGGTACTGGCCTCTGCTCCCCTCCCTTGGAACACCTTGCCCTGCGAAGAGGTGCTCATGGCAGAGTGCGGAGCCTTGGCTGCAAACTCCACGACAGCACAAGTGCATAACGTGCCGCATGCAGAAGCGCGGAGAAAATCCTTTCGTTTCGGGCTGGTTTATGTTTTGGAAGTCAAAATTCCCGAGCAAATTTGTTTTGCATCAGAAATGCAGATTTGCCCATCTCTTCTATTGCAAGAGGAGGGGGGGGGAGACGAGTAAAACTGATGTAAGCTTTTCCTCTGGAGTGCTTTGGCCGTCATTAAGCAGTGATATGAAATGCACTCTGTTGTTGCTGCACCAAGGCTTTTGCATCCTTCTGCAGGCAGAAACGGGAGAGGAACCCTTATTAAAAGATTAAGTTTAATAGCTATTCTTGGCGGGTGCAGGAGCCTGTATTCTTTCTGCAGCTGTCTCAGAGCTGTCCCATCTGGTAAAATTTAGCCGCCTTGGTTCGCTTCACCTGCCTGAGCGTCGACCCGACGGAGGGAGGTTGGCAGCCGCAGCGCCGTGCTGCTTCTTTCTAATAAAACTCGCTTGCCAGGATCAACATCGGAGACGGTTGCAGTAATCGGCGCAGTGCTGGCGGCTGGGCTGGGCTTGAGCTTCCTCGCTTTAGCTGCGCCCAAAAAGGCCGCCTGTGCCGGCGGTCAAAGAGGGGAATAAATCACTGTCCTAAAAAGCGCCTTTAATTAGCACCGTGGACACGTGGGGAGATGTGTTGGCATCAACAGCATCTGTCTGGGAAAGTCTTCACGTGAAACTCGGCTGGTTTGAGGGTGCGTGTCAGCTGGTTTGGGAGAAGCACTGCTATTTTTGAAGTGTGTGGGACCCATGGTCTCCAGTGACTGGTGGAGGGATGCCTTTGAGGGGACGGGTGCCGTGGAGTGGGGGAAAGGGTCCAGTCCGGGTTGGTGGCTAACCTTGAGGTCTCTGCTCTTGCAGGTAGACCAGTGGGACGAAATAACCGGCGGATCAACCGAGGGATCGTGGAGGAGTGCTGCTTTCGGAGCTGCGACCTGGCTCTGCTGGAAACCTACTGCGCCAAGTCCGTCAAGTCCGAGCGTGACCTCTCCGCCACCTCCCTGGCGGGCCTGCCAGCGCTTAGCAAGGTAGGGGGGGCTGTGCTGGGATGGTGGCCCTTCTCCGGAATAAATCACAACAGAAAAGATGGGGAGGCCCTGAGTGGGAGAGGACAAACCCCAGCTGCAAGGTTTGTGGCTTCTGCAGAGCCTTCGAGAGATGGCCACCGTTGGCAACTCATGCCAAATACCCTGCAGAAAGCCAGCTTTTAATAAGATGGGGGACCAGAGGTGGGCTGCTCATAGAATCATAGAACAGTTTGGGTTGGAAGGGACCTTTCAAGGCTGTCTAGTCCAACCCCCATGCAGTGAGCAGGGACATCTTCAACTCAAACAGGTTGCTCAGAGCCCCGTCCAGCCTGACCTGGAATGTTTCCAGGGACAGGGCAATGTTTCCGTGGGATGGATGGAGCTCAAAGAGAGGAACTCCTGTCCGGAGGGCGGGTAGGCTCACGGCGAGGCTGATGATGCTCTCCCGTCCCCTTGCAGGAGAGCTTCCAGAAGCCTTCGCACGGCAAGTACTCCAAGTACGACGTGTGGCAGAAGAAGAACTCCCAGCGGCTGCAGCGGGAGGTG